TACCTGGCCAAGTTACCAAAAGCTTTATTCTTTCATATGTCCTATTCATTCCTATGAGTAAATGACCGCCAGTTGGGTTTTCATGCATTTCCCTGAGAATCCTCGCCTTGTCTTCTTGGCTGACTATAGGTTTATTGTCTTCGTTTTCCCTAGCGGGTGTGGTAACATGGATTCTGCTAAGTGCGTCGGCATTTTTGTTTTCCGAACCTTTCTTATAAATTACTTCATAGCTATATTCTTCTAGCCTTAACCTCCATCTTAAGAGTCTCGAACTCGGGTCCTTTACACTGAATATCCACGTGAGTGGACGGTGATCGGTGACTATGGTAAATTTCCTCCCGTACAGGTATTGTCGGAAGTGTTTGCATCCCCAAACAATAGCTAGCAATTCCTTTTCTATTGTGGGATAATTTTTCTCTGCACTATTCAAAGTTCTGCTAGCGTAAGCTATGGGAAGATCCTTGCCTATGGATCCTTGACTTAGTACTGCTCCAATGGCTTCATTACTAGCGTCTGTGGTTAACACGAACGGCCGCGTGAAATCAGGGTATTGAAGCAACGGTTCTGTTATCAACAATTCCTTCAAAGTATTGAAAGCTTTATCCGTTTTGTCATCCCAAACATAGGGCGTATTCTTTTTCAATAATTCGGTCAGTGGTTTAGCTATTCTGCTAAAATTTGGCAAAAACCGTCTGTAGTAGCCTGCCAAACCTACGAAGCTTTTTAACGTCCATGTGCATGTGGGAACTGGGAAATTCCTGACAGCTTCTACCTTTCTCTCATCAGGTCTAACACCGTCTTTAGTTATGACATGTCCTAAAAATGCTACTTCCTTTCGCAAAAACTCGCACTTATCTGGCTGCAGTTTTAAATTATGTTTTCTCATCCTGCCCAAAACTTCTCTTAATTTCTCATTGTGAACCTGCAACGTTTCTCCGAAAACGACAATGTCATCCAAATAAACCAAACATTTTATTCCCTGTATCCCGGCGAGTACAGTCGACATCAACCTAGAAAACGTGGATGGAGCTCCCTTTAAACCAAAAGGCATTCTTTTGTATTCATAATGACCCTGTGACGTACTAAACGCCGTCTTTTGTTGGTCTTCCGCCCTGACTAAAATCTGGTGAAATCCACTCGCGCAGTCTATAGTCGAAAAGTATCTTGAATTTCCAAGTGCGTCTAATACTTCTGAAATCACTGGAATGGGAAAACTGTCGCCTATCGTGACGTCATTAAGTTTCCTGAAATCGACCACGATTCTCCATTTCCTTACGCCTGATGCGTCTACCTTTTTAGGCACAACCAGGATTGGTGAATTCCAGGGGCTGGAGCTTGGTGCTATGATATCATCTCGTAACATCTGTTCCATCTGCCTGTTAACTTCCTCTTTATGAATTTCCGGAATGCGGTAAGACTTAGTATTTATCCCTCTGGTTGGATCTATTGTAGGGGTGGGTATGGCATGCTCAGTTACCGTGGTGAAGGTTAGTTTGTCACCTGGTAAGTGGAACACGTCATTATACTCTTCACAGATTCTAACTAGTGACACTCTTTCCTCGCTATTTAGGTGGTCCGTTCTCAATTCCTTACGCAATTTTGACAACCTGGTCTCGTTTTCTACTAGCGTGGTAGCAAATATCATGGCCTCTGATTGAATGGGTTCATCCATTTCCTCTAACTCAACAAGGGGCGCGTCAATTGTGACGTCTTCTTCCAATGTGTTCACTATACTCGTTATACAAGTGCCTTCAATTTCCCTAGTTAAAGATTCTGCCATGTATATCCCTGGCATAATTTCCCTTCTCGATATAAAACCTTGTCCTTTATGTGTAGTGGGTAACTTCACAAAGTTTTCTGACCTAGCCTTCAATGTAACCTTGAAAATTTTGCTCTTCGCGCCACTGTCCTTAGGACTGAATTTAAGTATGACATCTTCCATCAGGATTTCACGGTTACAGTAGCTAATGACTGCATTCTTACTTTCCCAAAAATCGCGACCTAAGATTCCGTCGTATTGCAACTGAAAACTGTCTCCTATTACATGGAATTCATGCGTGGTTTCACGTGTATCAGTGACNAAATAACTTCAAATTTACTGTACCCTTAGTTTTCATGACTCCCTTTGAAATTCCTTTAATTTCTATTACATTATCGTGTTTGAAGTCGCACCCGGGCTTCAAACTCGAGTCCCTGACGACAGAAATATCTGCGCCAGTGTCAACCAGAAATTTCAGTTTATCGGTCCTACTCAAATCGACTGTCAATGTCACCGTGTCTAAATTCGACCTCGCATGCTTCTCACTCATTAATTTTGAACGGAGAGTTACTATCTGAATTTAACTCTTGGCGATTCTAGCAAGTATCAACTTTAAACTGTGGACAACCATTTACTTTCTGGGTTGGGCAATCTTCGGGTTGCTCGAGATTCCCATTCCCTCGTTTCCCGACCTGATCCATTCCTTACTCGGGGCTCTACATAAATCAGTAGTGTGTCCTCTTAGACCACACTTCCTGCACGCCGGTCCTTGCCGACAAAACCTTGCGACGTGTCCTCCACGGCCGCAATTAAAACAACTTGTGGGCCTGTCTCTACCGACAGCCCTTGCATCGCGCTCCTCGCGCGTGCAACTTAAAACTTCCCTTACACTGGCACTGGGGTTTCTGTTTGAGCTCAAACACCTGGCGCTGGTATGGCCTAACTTATGACACTTGTTACATCTGAGGGTGGGCCCACTAGCTGAGAAAGGCGATCTTTCTTTCATGGAGAGGATTGCGCACTCCTCTTCCAGAGAAATTTCTATAGCCTGAGACAGGAGGATGGTTTCTCCTCGACTTCTAACTATGGTCTGAATTCTCTCATTGTGGAATCCTTGTACGAAACAAGTCTTCCCTTGGTGATTTATTAGCCCTATGGCTCCTATAATTTCTTCAGGCTTGCATACCCGTCTTGCAGCTTCCCTCAAATCAGTTTGTAACGCGTCTATCCTACTTCCCCACGAAGCAATGCTCTCAGCATTACCCTGCCTTGCATTAAACATCTTACAAGCATAATAATCTAACGTACGCCTTGTTGCGTAATTCTCTTCCAATATTCCCTTCACTAGCCCCCAACTGTGAGTAAGGTCCCTTACCATTAACTTGGATCGGGCGTCTCCCGTTATCTTTGCCTTAACAAATTTCAATAAAACTTCATGTTTCCTTGGGTCAACTAATTCAAATGCGACGTCCACATTTTCTATGAATTCCTTTAATTTTCTCTTATCGCCATCAAATGGGTGGGTAATCAATTTCATGGCCTCTGCCACGCTGCAATAATGCATGCCATCATCGGCTGTAGAACTAATATCACTGTTGTCTACCTCCATGGTCACTTATAATTCGTAATTAATCAGTCCTCAATTCGAATCTGTCTAACCGCGGTTCCCTTTTTCTTCCTTTTCACTTCACAAACAATTTCACTACTGTCAAATTGTCTAAGCCACGTCTAAACAAACTACTGTGCTGACATCCAAAGAAAATAATTGAGTGCAACTCACCCGATGTTTCTGCTTCTCGGGGCTGCGGTTGCATGGGGGACATCCCTTGAAGTTCCTGTGGGATGTGCTGATGGATCTCTGCAGTTGGTGAACTCCGGTGGGCTGTGGTGGGTTTCGAAGTCTGGTCCTCGGTGTCGGACTCCCTCGTGTTGGCTTCTTCTTCTCAGATAGGCTCTTCAGTGGCCTCTTAGTGTCGGTCTGGCAACCAACAGATCTCGGCGACTGGATGATGATGAGGTGGTGCTGCCTCGTAGTCGGTCAACCTCCGATCAGAGCTCGTGGATTCAGACGTTAAGCATAATCGGAGTGATTGAAGGATGCAGAGGCAACTGGTCAATGAGAGAGCAGGTCAAAGCCACTACACTCTCTCGCGAGGGATGAAAAACGACCCTTAGGCAACCTCTAAGAGCGTCTGGTGATGAATCGTCGAGATGCGGAGACGTCAAATTCTTACAACTGGTCAATGAGAGAGCAGGTCAAGGCCACTACACTCCCTCGTGCAGAACTCTCGATCTTCCTCTGCTGGCTCCAAACTTCCAAAATAACTTCCAAAGGCTGTGTCCAACCACACGTCTGACACCAGAAAATTCCCCGACGTGTTGTATCCTGAAGGATAGTGATGGGAAGTACTTGTAGACCGAGCGGAAGTCTTGTGGACTGGGGACGTTTGAGCACTTAAGAATTGAAATTCAAGTCTTCGGAAGTCGGTTTTCAGGTTAATAGAATGATGTATTGAATCAAATGCTTACACAAGGTTACATTAGGAATACTGATTATAGTTACTTGATAAATGAACAAAGGATGTGAGTGCACTATGCACCAACGCGGTAGGATTCGGCAGGTAGTGAGAGGTAGCCTCCAGGGAGGTGCTGAGTGTACTACTCGATGATGCCGCGCTGAAGTTCAGTAGTAACACACAAATACGTGAAGATAGTGATTAAACTGGCGAGGAGTCCGACCGAAGTGAACAAGTCAAAAGTTTAGCGTGGTGTCTGCCATGGCTGGCAAAGCCTGAGTTTTTAAAGGGATTCGAACCATTAACTTGGTGCTTGGACACCCAGAGACACGCCTATTGAGGGCGTAGTCAGATTCAGGATCGACATATGATTCGTCGTCCTTAAAGAAGAGTTTGACCATTCAGATGTATGGAGCACTGGATGGTCATAGGAATTCTAAATGA